AGAATTAACATTTTCAAATATCTCATACTTGCCAGTGTGATCTACAGATTCAATGTAATTCTTATTGAAATCACAATAATTTCTTTTTTATAAAAATAGGAAAATCCCCCCCAAATTTATATGGAATCATGCAACTCTAAATAGACAACGTAATCTTGAGCCAGAAGAACAAAACAGGAAGCATCATACTTCCTGATTTAAACATGTAACACAAAGCTACAGTAATCAAGACATTATGTTATAAAAAAACAAACATATTCTCCAATGGAACAGATCGGAAAATCCAGAAAAAAATTATACATTTATAATAAACTGATCTCTGTCTTATGATGAAACCTATTCAGGCTTTAAGAAAGGCTCAGTGTCTCTTCTTGCTTAGGGCTATTTCTCTGTCTCCAAATTATATGTTCTTTTCAATCCTTTTGGAGTATAAAAAGTGATAGAGAGAAATTTTGAGTTGGAAATCAAGGAAGTAAATTACCAAGTTGAAAACTAAGTCCTGAGTTTCCAGATCTGAAAAATTCTATAATCTTGTTTAAGGATTATGTAAACTATAAAGAGAACTAACCCTAACACTGTTTTAGCAGTTTAGCTACGGCAGGGAATGGTAAGAAGAACCTATTACTCTGTTTCCTTACACCTCCCTATCCCCAGCTTCCTCCTCTATAAGTGCTTTTGCCTGTTGGGACATGGTCTTGGCCTGACTTGGTCAGACAAAAATAGGCCTGCAGTTATTGCAATCATTTCCCAAATTTAGTGGGTTTTAGAATAGCCCGGAGGGCTTGTTAAATCATAGATGACTGGCCCCACCAGTGTAATTTCTTATTTATTATGTCTGGGGTGGGACTAAGAATTTATATTTATCACAAGTTCATAGGTGATGCTGATGCTGTGACTGGAGATCATACTTTAAGAAACATGGTCTTAAAGGACTATAGGCTCAACTCAGGTGTTTCTTCTCACTGTAATTGAGGTTCCTTGATGCCCAAACTGCAAACTCAGCCTTGCCCCAGTGACAAAGACCAATCCTGATAAAAACTTGCGGTAGCACTCTTTTGGACTTTCTTTTTTATTTTTAATTAAGTCATAACTGTGTACATTAATGCATTTATGTGGTACAACGTGATGATTTTACATATAATTTGGAATGCTTACATCCATTTTGGCCTTTCAATATGAGGCCTTCTCATTGCTGTCCCAAACTCTGCCTCAGATATCTATCTCCTTTTTGTAAGCTTTCATAACTACTTCTTAGGATTCCTTGCCTTGCTTTATAGAATGCTAGAGCTAATATACACTGGCTAGTGAGAACCAATTGTGTACAACTTCCCAACTGCATGTTTGAGTGTGGAAGTTTTTAAAAACACAAAAATTGACAAACGCTAAAAATCAAGGCTACTTTTTTCCTCCTGGAGAGCTGCTTTTTTCCTCCTGGAGAGCTGGTTGGCAAACCACATCCTTTTAGCATCATTGCCAACTGAGTTCTTATTTTGAAACTTATCTTTCTCCCAGAATGAACCTACTTTGGCCATCCCTAAAGTGTAACGGTTCCTAGGGGATATTGTTTGAAGTTCTAGCCTCTCTAAAGCATCCTTACGATGTTTTGATATATAACTTTGGGGAAACAACAATCAGGCCTCAAGTATTCTCAGCTCTTTGTATTATAGGTGTTTTCTGTTCTTAGAACAGAGCTAGGCATATCATAAAAATCTATAAGAAAGAAATTAACATCTGTTGTAGAAAGTGTGAAGCATATATATATTATATTATTGCTATTATTGCATTGAATACTATTTAAGTTATTTGAGGACAGATTATTGTATCCACTGTAGAGAAGAGAAAAACTGAAGCTCAGAGAAGTTAAATTAATTGCCTAAGACCACACAATTACTAAGTAGCAAAGTGTGGATTCATACCCAAATATTTAGTGAGCACTTAACAAAACACTTCCTGACTGAAACTGTGGGACTACACTACAGAGCTTTTCAAATTATAATTATAGGCCTGTTTAGATTATCTATCTTTCCAAGTGTGAATTGGTAGATTAAATATCAAGAAATTTGTCTTATATAGGTAATCAAATTCATGAGTTGTGCACATCATCATTTATTATTATCTCAATGTCTGTTAGATCAGTAATGAGTTCATTTTCATTTTTCTGATTACTAGTTTTTATCTTCTCTCATTTTTTGTTTATTTTAGTTAACCAGAGATTTATCAATTTCACTGATGTTTTTGAAGAAATAGCTTTTCTCAAAAGTGGATATTTTTCTGCTGAGTTCTTCTTTTAAATTTCTTTAATTTATGCTCCAATTTTATTATTTATTTTCTTTTGCTTACTATGAATGTAACTTGCTCTTTTTATAGTTTGTTGAGGTAGAATATTAGTGTTTTTACATTAAATCTTTTTCCTTTTCTAATATACACATTCAATGCTATAAATTTCCCTCTAATTTTGATAAGTTATGTTTTTATTTTTTGGTTAGTTAAAATAATTTGAAATTCTCTTGAGACTTTACTTGACCCATGTGTTATTTAGAATTGTATTGTTGCATTCCTGTTAGTAAAGCATCACAAGAATGGAAAACAATGTACCAAATGTGCTCAATACTAATATGAAACCAATATAAAACCAAAAACAACGACACAGCCACATGAAAGAAAAACACAAGTATATTCCAGTGAAAGGGAAAGGGGAGGTGGGAAAGAGGAAAGGGGTAGGAGGGAATATGATAGGCAAATTCTTACCTAATGTGCACAATGTACGGGTATATAGCATACTCCCTGGGTGAAGGGCTCAACTACAACTTGAACTTTATCTTAGAATTGAAAACAATGTAACCTAAATATTTGTACCCTCATTTTTTTTTTTTTATTAAACCATAGCTGTGTACATCAATGCAATCATAGGGTACAATGTGCTGGTTTTATATACAATTTGAAATATTTTCATCAAACTGGTTAACATAGCCTTCACCATATTGTCTTAGTTATTGTGTTAAGATATTTGTATTCTACATCTAGTAAATTTAACATGTACCCTTGTAAAATTCACTATAAGTGTGATCCCACCAATTACCCTCCCTCCATCCTTCCTCTTCTCTCCTCTTCCTTCCCCCTACTCTTTCCCATTCTTCTTGTGCTATAGTTGGGTTATAGCGTTCATATGAAAGCTATAAATCGGTTTCATAGTGGGGCTGAGTACATTGAATACTTTTTCTTCTATTCATGAGATACTTTGCTAAGAAGAAAAGATCCATCCATGTAAACATGAAAGAGGTAAAGTCTTTGTCTTTTTTAAGGCTGCATAATATTCCATGGTGTACATATACCACACAATTTATTAATCCATTCATGGATTGATGGGCACTTGGGCTTCTTCCATGACTTAGCAATTATGAATTGGGCTGCAATAAACATTCTGGTACAAATATCTTTGTTATAATGTGATTTTTGGTCTTCTGATATATACCTAATAGAGGAATTGAAGGACAGAATGGCAGGTGTATTTTAAATTTCTACCTGATCTCCAAAATTCTTTTCAAAGGAACATATTAGTTTGCATTCCCACCAGCAGTGCAGAAGTGCTCCCTTTTCTCCACATTCACACCAACATCTCTGGTTTGGGGATTTTGTGATGTGGGCTAATCTTACTGGGATTAGATGATATTTCAAAGTCACTTAGATTTGCATTTCTCTGATGATTAAGGATAATGAGCATTTTTTCATGTGTCTGTAGGCTGTGCACCTGTCCTCAGAGAAGTTTCTCTTCAAGTCCTTTGGCCACACTGAGATGGGATCACTTGTTCTTGTCTTCATTTGAAATCTCTGGATTCTGGTTATTAAACTTTTGTCAGAGATATAACCTGCAAATATCTTCTCCCATTCTGACAGCTGTCTGATTGCTTTACTTACTGTTTTTGGCTGTGAAGAAGCTTTTTAGTTTCATCAAATCCCAGTAATGTATTTTTGGTGTTGTTTCAATTGCCTGGGGGGTCTTCCTCATGGAGTATTCTCCCAGGCTGTTTCCTTCTAGTGTTTTCCCTGCACTTTCTTCTAGTATCTTTATATTTTAATTTCTTAAGTTTAAATCTTTAATCCAATGAGAGTCTATCTTAGTTAATGGTGAATGGTGTGGGTCCAGTTTCAGTCTTCTACAGGTCACCATCTAGTTCACCCAGCACCATTTGTTAAATAGGCAATCTTTTCCCCACTGAAAGTTTTTAACTGGTTTGTCAAAGATCAAATAATGGTAAGTAGCTGGGTTCATCTCTTGGTTCTTTATTATGTTCCACACATCTACCTCTTTGTTTTTGTGGCAGTACCATGCTTTTTTGATCACTATGGATTTATAGTATAATCTGAGGTCTGGTAGAGTGATTCCTCCTATTTTATTTTTATTTCTGAGTAATGTCTTGGCTATTTGAGATCTTTAAAGTATAACAGAGGAGCTTTAATAGGGATTGCATTAAAATTGTATATTTTCTTGGGTAATATGGATATTTGAACAATGTTGACTCTTCCCAGCCATGAGCATGGTATGTTTTTCCATTTGTTAACATCTTCAGCTATTTCTTTTCTTAAGAGTTTCATAGTTCTCTTTATAGAGATCTTTCACATCCTTTGTTAGGTAAACTTCTGAATATTTCATCTTCTTTGGGACTACTGTGAACGTAATAGAGTCCTTGACTGCTTTTCAGATTAACTATTGTTGGTATATATAAAGGCTACAGACTTATGAGGGTTGATTTTTTTTTGTTAGGTAAACTCCTGAATATTTCATCTTCTTTGGGACTATTGTGAACGTAATAGAGTCCTTGACTGCTTTTCAGCTTAACTATTGTTGGTATATATAAAGGCTACAGACTTATGAGGGTTGATTTTTTAACCTGAGACACTCCTGTATTCCTTGATCATTTCTAAGAGTTTCCTAGTAGAATCCCTGATGTTTTCCAGATATACAATCATATCATGTGTGAAGTGTGAAAGTTTTTTTTTTTTTTAATATGGAAAACCTCACGAATTTGCATGTAATCCTTGCACAGGGGCCCATGCTAATCTTCTCTGTATCATTCCAATTTTAGTATATGTGCTGCATAGCCAGCACTGAAGAGCGAAAATTTGATCTCCTCTGACCTTATATGGATACCCTTGATCACCTTTTCTTGTGATGACAAAGACTTCCATTACAGTGTTGAAAGGCATTGGAGACAATGGGCAATCTTGTCTGTTTGCTGATCTGAATGGAAATAATTTCAATTTAATTCCATTCAATATGAAATTGGCTGTGCATTTGCTATAGATGGCCTCTATTGGTTCAAAAAATGTCCCTTTTATACCAATATTCTTAAGTGTTCTGGTCATAAAAGGATGCTGGATATTATCAAAAGCTTTTTCTGCATCAATTGAGAGATTCATATGGTCTTTGTTTTTTATTTTATTTATGTGATGAATTATATTTATAGATTTACTTATTTTGAACCAGCCTCAAGACCTGGGATAAAACCCACTTGGTCATGGTCTGTAATTTGTTTGATGTGTTGCTGGATTCTGTTTGCTACAATCTTGTTGAATATTTTTGCATCAATATTCATTAGTAATATTGGTCTATAATTTTCTTTTCTTATTGGGTCTTTTCCTGGTTTGGGGATCAAGGTGATGTTTGCCTCATAGAATGTGTTGGGTAATATTCCTTCTTTTTCTATATTTTGGAAAAGGTTGAGTAATATAGGTACCAGTTCCTGTTTAAAGGTTTGGTAGAATTCTGATATGAAGTCATCAGGTCCTGAGATTTTCTTTTTAGGGAGATTTTGTATAGTTGATGCTATTTCAGAACTTGATATAGGCCTGTTCAACATTTCTACTTCCTTCTGGCTAAGTCTTGGGAGGTGGCATGCTTCCAAGTATTGGTCGATTTCCTTCAGATTTTCATATTTCTGGGAATAAAGTTTCTTCTAATATTCATTAAGGATTTTTTTGAATTTCTAAGGGGTCTGTTGTTATTTCATCTTTACCATTTCTGATTGATGAGATTAGAGATTTTACTCTTTTTTTCTTGGTTAGGCTGGCCAAAGGTTTATCTATTTTATTGACCTTTTCAAAAAACCAACTTTTTGATTTATTGATCTGTTCTATAATCCTTTTATTTTCAATTTCATTTAATTCTGCTCTAATTTTGGTTATTTCTTTTCTTCTGCTGGGTTTGGGTTTGGAATGTTCTTCCTTTTCCTGTTGCTTAAGATGTCCCATTAAGTTGTTAACTTCCTCTCTTTCTGTTCTCTTTTGGAAGGATTGCAGTGCTATAAATTTCCCTTTTAGGACTGCCTTTGCAGTATCCCAAAGGTTCTGGTAATTCATGTCTTCATTATCATTTTGTTCCAAAACTGTGGTAATTCCCTCCTTAATCTCATTTATGACCCAGCTGTCATTCAGCATAAGATTTTTCAGTTTTCATGTTTTTGTATGAGTATGCAGAGTCCTGTTGTTACTGAGTTCAACTTCTATTCCATGATGGTCCCAGATGAAAGGAATAATTTCTATTCTTTTATTTCTGAGGTTAGACTTGTGATCTAAGATGTGATAAATTTTGGAGGATGTTCCATGGGCTGATGAGAAGAATGTGTATTCAATTTTGTTAGGATGAAATGTTCTGTACATGTCTGTTAAATCTATATGTTGAATGGTTAAGTTTAAGTCTAAAATGTATTTGCTGAGTTTCTTTGCAGTCATTCTAATATTATTCACCTTGTAGGTTATGGTTTTCTTACATATAGTGGCTTGCAGAATTTTCTCATTCTTATTAACTTTGGCAAAGTTAATTATAATGTGTCTGGGAGATGCCTTATTCAGGTTGAGTTGTGCTCAGGTTCTGAAACTGTCTGATATCTGAATTTCAGAATCTCGTGGTATGACTGGGAAGTTCTCCTTAGTTATCTCATTAAGTAGAGCATCTGGGCCTTTTGAAGCAATCTCCTCACCTTCATGAATTCCTATAAGGTGAATATTAGTTTTCTTCGAATTATCACAGAGCTCCCTGAGAGAATGATCCATTTTTGCTGTCCACTTCTCTTCGTCTTTGAGCCTTTGGGAGTGTTCAAAAGCTTTGTCTTCAATGTCAGAAATCCTTTCTTCTTCCTGCTCCATTCTATTACTGAAGGATTCTACTGTATTTCTCAGATGTTAGAGGGCTGCAAATTCTTGTCTCAATGTGTCAAAATCTTTGGTGATTTTGTCTTTAAATTCACTGAATTCTTGAGACAACTTTGAAATGCTCCTTAAATTTCTAATTCCAACTTTATGTCCATTCTAGTAATCTTATTTGCAATCCAAATTCTGAATTTGATATCTGAAATTTCATCCATTTGTTTATGAGTGGGATCTTCTGGTTTGTCCGTCATTCCTTGAGGGAGTTAATCTGCTCTGATTATTCATGTTGCCAGAGTTATTCTGCTGGTTATGTCCCATGATTATTTTACACCATTTGGCTTGATGAGCAGATAAGGTGAAGTCGGGTTGGGGGATCCTGGAGTATGGATTAACCAGGCCTTTGCCCAAGAGCTGGGACTAGTGTCTGTACCTTTTCCCCTAGAGCTTTGCAAGAGACCCATATAGTGCTATGGCCTGAGACACTGGGGACCTGCTTGGCTTGGTGGGGCTAAGGGGCTCTATCTTGTTTTCAGCTGGTCTCTGTCCAATCCTAGTGAATCAGTAACTCTGGGTTGAAGTCTCAGCTATTGTTTGTTTCCTTGGGGTCATAGCTTGCCTTAGTAGGATTGATGTGAATTCTTTAACCTCTCCTGGCTCATCTCCAAACCATCAGCTTACTTGCTTAACTTCTGTCCTTTAACTCTCTTTCTGGATAGGAGCCTCTGTGGAAAGCTGACTCCAGTCAGCCATCTTGCCTCCCTCCTGTAACCTCATATTAATCTGAATTAAAAAAAAAGAGCAAAGGAAGTGTGGTGATTAATTATTAGGCCATTTAGGAGTTTCCAGTTATCTTTCTGCTATTGATTTCTAGTTTAATTCTATAGGTCTGACAGCATACTTTGTATTATTTTCATTCCTTAAATTTATTAAGGTGTGTTTTGTTCCCCAGAATGCGACATATTTTACAATGCTCTATGTTAGGCTGACAATAATTCTGCTCTTGTTGTGTGAAATAGTCTATAAATGTCAAATAGATTCAGCTGATTGAAGGTGGTACTGAGTTCACCTGCATTCTTACTGATTTTATGTCTGCTGAACCTGACAATAGAGAAGTGTTGAAATCTCTAACTATAATAATGAGTTAATCTATTTACCTTTACAGCTTTGTCAGATTTTGCTTTACATATTTTGATGCTTTGTTGTTAGGCACATACACATTTTGTCTATTGTGTCCTAAAGCATTTGCCCCGCTTGATCCCTATAATTTTCTTTTTTTTTTTTTTTTATTCTTGGGAATTGATTGAGGGGACAAAGATCCAGGTTACACTAATTACATGCGTCAGGCAAAGTCCCTCTTATAAATATGTTTCTTCCCCAAATGGTGTGCCAAACACTGTGACCCCACATCCCCTCCCTCCTTCCCCTCTCAGCTCCCCTATTCTTCTGCCCCCACCATGTCAGTGCCTGCTGTGGACACCTCATCACTACCTGAATAAAAACAGCTGGGACCTCGGATTGAAGGTACAAATGCTTGCCAGAGGTGGGCCAACATACTAGAGCTACGTGCTTAATGATTGCTACATGTTTTTTCTCCCTGGGCTCGACTCTCAGCCTGCTGCACCATGCCTGTCCAACGTATAACACCTGCTTGCTAATTAGAGATGGGTCTTGACTCCTTAACTTGTGCAGCTGCTTGGGGGCTTGTCTCTGGGTAGTAAAACGTCTCCATGCCTAGGAAACTGCCTTGCTCCCAGCACCTTCCTCAAGAACTGGTGGCTGCTTCTATAAGCCTGGTGCACAGTCTCCTACATCTCTGCCCTTTCCCGCCCAAGACATACTTGTACAGGGTAAGGGAGAAACCCGCAGTTGTCTGTCTCATCTGCTGTCATCGATCAGCTCTCCTTCAAGCTAGGTAAAGAGCACAGAATCATTAATAAATTAACAAAATTACATCAGTGAAAACTAGTGAGAGAAATTAACAGAACTACATCAATGTGTCATTGAGTGGTATAACCCACATTAATCTTACCTCTCACAAACTCTGCCATTAGGAAAAAGGATGCCAACCTCTCCAAACTACTTCCTGCTGAAAATGGACAGTGTTATGAGGAAGGCAGTCAGAGGTTTTTCAGAAGAGATTGATCTGGGGTTCACTGTCAATTAAAATAATGGTATCTTTGAAATGCTAGGTTTAAACTATATAAAGTAGATAAACAATTTAAACCATTTAATGAAAATGTCATTTGCATATACCCTCTTGTTTCTCTAGAACCACACCATTAATACCTAACACAATCAACTAATTAGTAAGTCAACATTTACAGACACATAATTAGATGTTACTTTAGAAAATCCTTAAGACTGGCAAGGTTTCTTGCTCATGTCAAGGTTTTGATCCAGTGGGCAGGCAGTCACTGACTCTCTTGATGTTCTGTAGTGATATAAGCAAAATCTCAATCCCAATGTAGCACATTACCAGGTTATTACATTATCAGGTTCCCATTCAGACATATTTGGTTTATAGAAAATAGGTTGTTTAAATCTCCATACTTGTATTTTTTTTTCCAGCGGACCCCAGGTTCTGCCTGACAGACGGTTTCCCTGCTGCAAAGGTGTTCCATTCCAAACAAATTAATAGCTGCATTCATTGCCCAATGGAACCCTTTTCTACCCCTAGGGCATACACCTGAGGGTTTACATTCTTTTTGTTTCTTTTGATTACTAAGTGAAAAATGGCTATTGTGTTTGCTATTCCTCCTCCAACACTACCTTCTCACATGCTCTAGCCTTTTAAAATTATGGCAGTTAGTAGTTTTAAGTGTGAGGCTATTCATTCAGTCTTCTGCCTAATTAATCTGAATTCTGATTCTTTTAGGTAGTTGTTCCTACTCCTGCTCAAATGAACTCTTTCAATTATATTTTGTGCCTCAGGTTCTTTCCTTTAAGTTACTGTTAAGTTCC